AGCCTCTGTAAGGCCCACCATTCCTTGGGGGTCACCGGGTGTCTTGACATTGGTCTTTCCTTGGTCGAGGAAGTTCTCAACACAGAGATCCTGGGGCCAAAAATGTGCTCTCCTCCTGTTTCCTCCTCTTGCTACATTAGTCAAGTCCCTCTTCACTCGCTTGATTCTATTTCCTTTTATCTCTATCAAGATAAAAAGAGGTCTCAATCAAGGGTAGGACTTGAATCATGTCTATTTGAGAGGCTGTGAATCAAGATACAAATCACTCTAACAGTATGAAGGTGGCAGTTATGGGGGTGGAGAGTGTAAAGATGTTTACCTCCAGTAAAATAACTTTATCCATTCCAGGTAGAATGAGGCCTGTTCCTTTGTGTATATTGTATATATTGCCCCCTTCCCTTCTTGTGTAAGGGGCTGCTAAGGGGTGGCAGGGGCTCCATCTCCCTGCACCGGGCTCTTGTGTGTAATAACCTGCAGTGTGTGACCTACAGACCCTTTCCCACTGCACTTTATATAGAATGGTTTAGGTGAGGACTTGCAAGTTGGAGGTAGTGTGGACCTCAGGCCAGAGGGAGGCTCTTGTGGAGAAGGGAGTAGTTCATGGAACACCTTTCCCCCCAAAGGGGCTGGACTCAGGTTAACTTGGAGATAGGGGCTCCTGCGCTTGCCACCCCCTCTGACTTCCCAACTTGGGCTGTGTTTTCCAAGAAGATGATTCTACTCCCTTTCCCCGACCCCAGAAAAAAATGATACAATATTTTTTACTGTGATGAAGCCACAATGGCCAAGAGATGACAGATTCAAGCTGTTTAACACACTCAGCCAAATCTAGTGCTGCCTTATGCACATAGAGAGGCTAGAATTTAAATCACCCATCAGAAAAATGGATGATACATTAGTTACATTAGGTCACAAAATTACACAGGATAACAGCATAATATTAGGAATCACAGGATAGCCAAGTTGGCACACTGCATGGAGGACACAATTCAATCCATGATCCCATCATTTAAAATATACCTACACACTGTATAAGTTCCCCTTGTGTATTTTCTTACTTGGCACTCAGTAACAACCGTATCATCGACTTATATTGACCCTATAGAAGAGAACTGCCCCATAATTTACTTGATGGCAGCAGGTTTTTTAAACCATCTTACAAGATACAGCCATATCACACCAATTTTAAGGATAAAATGACGGAACCATACAGAAGGTATGTAAAAGTGGGTTGTCATTAAGGCCAAACTTAAGTGAGATAGC